AGGTAAGACTATAGTACTAACCATCAAGCCGAATTTTGAATTCTCGAGTTAAAACAAAGTTATATTGTTTTCCGATGGTGTTTCCCTTCATAATAGTTCCTTAAGTCTCGTAGAGGAGTGGCTTCAGTCCGCAGGCCATTGTATTCCTCGACATGTCAATGTGCTTGAATTTGCCATTGATGTAATAGAGAGCCTTCACAAAGTAGAAAATGATATTGGGAAATGTGAAATGGAACAAGAATATGATCATATCATAGAAAACTCCCTTTTTTTTTATAACTCGGGGATCCAAACTTCGCCGGACTAATCTTGAGGAGTGACGGTCTTCCCCTCTAGTTCGCCACCCAGGTTAATCCTGACGGGGTCACAACTTATACACAATTGGGCTAGACATTCGACGGTTCTTCTCCCTGTGGACCTTTGCCTTCCGACATAGATGTTGCCTTCCAGTTGTCGCGGGGATTCGAATTTTCGATGCTCCGTAGAGAACTCTCCTACTTTACCACTACGCCATACCCGTGGGGGCTAGAAAACTCCATCTTTGATCATATGGAAGGAAGTCATATCTTATACTGCAATTCTCCAATTAGTACTGATCTTCAGCTACAGATTCTTCACCAGCATTATCAGAACTAAACAACTTTTCGCAGCAAGGACAATTCATACATTGCTAGCTAGAATTGTATTAGGGGCGATATTCATGAATGCTTTTAATAACTCCAAGAGATTGAAACTGCAAAATCAAATTGGTCCCTTTGCCTTCAGTCTGACCTTCCTGATGTCATCAACAACAGAAACACTACCAATTTTCTTGCAAGAAAGGAGAAGTTTAATTAGAGAGACAACCAGAGGAGCCTACAAAGTCTCTTCTTGCATTATAGCAAACACTATAGTAGTCTTTCCTTTTCTACTTATAGTATCTGTTGACCCCAAAAAATGTTGCCAACAGATATCGGGCCCACTCGTGCACACGTAAGTTTGATCCAACACGTTAATGCCGATCAACGGTCAAGTTGACTCCAGAAAATGAACGTGGGAGTGGCTCAAAGGCACAAGATGTTTCCGTTCAGGCTTCCGGCAAGA